ACGATTGGAACTCGCCTGTTGATTGGATGCGGGGCTCGCCTGTAGCTCGTGAAGGCTCGCCTGTTTTGAGTTAGGGACAGCTGGTTCTCGCTGTCTGTCCTAGGGTTTCCCTATAAAAGGGAAACCCCATTCTCCAGCAGAGGCGAGCGGCAAAGAGAAAACCCCCTGGAGCTGGCGGCGGCGATTTGGAGCAGAGAGATCGGAGCGAGTTTGAGTTGGGAGGTGGATAATTTATTCTCCCTCCATTTGTTGGGCTTTCATTCCCTCTGCCATTTGTTGAGCCCATTTTTCCTATACTCATTAATTGAGAGGGGAGTTGATAAACTTTAGGGGGTTTATTTGGAGGGATTAAGAGAGAGTTTGAGCGGTGATTTTAGATTAAAATCACTTGCTATTTGTTGAGAGATCTCAAGTTTGAAATATTCTCTCTTATTTGTAATTTCTTGTGATTAATTAGAAATTATTTGTGCAGCTCCCGTGGACGTAGGCAAATTTGCCGAACCACGTAAAAATTGGTTGTTTGCGTTTGTGTCATTATTGTGTTTGTATTTGGCCTTCTTTCCAACGATGTTTGTTTGGTTCTCGGGCATTAGATACCAACAAGTGGTATCAGAGCTTAAAAAGCTCCAACAAGTGGTATCAGAGCTTAACAAACTCCAACAAGTGGTATCAGAACTCCGAGCTACGCTTGGACTATTTGGAGGAGTAGATCACTTTGGAAGTTCATCTAGGAATTTATTTGGTGATAAAGTTAGGATTTTTACTATTGATGATCTTGTCTACCATCGTGTGGGGGTGAGATCTTTTAGAGGCTCTTTTTAGAGTTTCAGTTTGAGGTAAAAATTTCTCTTTGTCAGTTTGGATCTATTCTTCGTTTGTTCTGTATTGGTTGTTGGTGCCTTGAGATAGATGGCTGAGAAAGAAGGAGTTGTGGAGGGTTCTTCCAGTGTGAAGATTGTCCAAAGTTTGAATATCCACTCTATGAAGATAGACGTGGAGAAGTTTAATGGCACTAACAAATTTAGAATTTCGCAATACGAAGTCTTGGATGCGCTCAACGTGCAAAATTTGGAAGATACATTAGCGTTGGACGGGAAACCGGACGACATTGATGAGAGGGTTTGGAAGAAGATGAATAGAACATCGTGTGGTGTGATTAGGTCTTGTCTCACTCAAGATCTAAAATATGATGTGATGAATAAGACTTCGACTAAGAAGATTTGGGAGGTCCTAGAGAGCAAGTATTTGACAAAAAGTATACAAAATCACTTGCATTTGAAGAGGAGGCTTTATCGCTTCCAATTGAAAAAGGAGACCTCCATTAGTGATCACATGAACCACTACACAAAGCTTCTTACCGATTTAACGAATGTAGATGTGATGATTGATGATGAGGATAGGCGTTGCTGCTGTTGAGTTCCTTGCCTGACGAGGAATATGAGACCTTCGTTCTTACTCTTATTAATGGGAAGGCATCCCTTTCGTATAGTGAGGTCACCGCCGTACTTGTGAATTATCAGCTTCGAAAGAAGGATAATGAGACTTTTGTTGAGCCTGTAGCGAGGGCATTGGTCGCAAGAGCAAAGAGTTTAAACCATGGCAGGAGGTCGCAGTCTAGAGGGACACATTCTAGAGTTCGTAGGATCCAGTGTGTCTTTTGTAAAGAAGATGGACATTGAAAAGTCGAATGCCCAAAGTTGAATGATCGAGCCGGGAAGAATAGGGGAAAAGCTATTCAAGCTTCAAAGGTGAATGTTGCCAGAGCTAGAGGCGATAATTCAGATTCAGATTCTTCAGGCTACTTGTTATCTGCACTACCGTCAGTTTGTCTTACCGACTCCACTGAGTAGATGTTGGATTCTGGTGTTTCTTACCATATTTACCCTAGGAGGGATTGGTTCTCCAGTTTTTAGGAGTTCGAAAGAGGGGATGTCGTACTCATGGGTAATGACCACGAATGCCCTATTGGTGTTATTGGTATCGTTTGTATTCGGATGAGTGACGAAGTGATACGGGAGTTGGATGAAGTGAGGTTCGTTCCTCAGTTGAAGAAGAGCATCATTTCATTTGGAGCTTTGGAGGCAACAGGCTATAGGGTGACTTTGGTGGATGCATGTTTGAAGGTCATATTGGGGTCCATGATTGTGATGAAGGGCGTAAGAAAGATCAATTTGTATTATTTGCTTAAGAGCACAGTGATTGATAGTGAGCAACTTCTTTGGGGGCTAGACTATGGCGTTGTTTGATGATGGGGTATTTGATTGGCTATGCCGTGCATAGATTATTGAGAAGTGCTATGACCTATAGATTAAAGTCCTTTGAGTACACTGGAACGAACGAGAAGACCGAGGTAGAGTTTGGCGCTTCTATCCATCGATCGAGGGGTCTTTTAGGTGGTGTTCATTCAGGCATTTAGGGGCCTTCCAAAGAGGCATCATTGAGAGGTAATTGATATATGGTTTCCATAGTTAGTGATTGTACTAGGCATTTATGGGTTGCAACCAAATCTCATTGCTTTAAAGTCCTAGTAGTCAACAACAGATGGAGGAAGTGTATTGGCAAAAAGGTAAGACTTTGTTCTTTTCTGCGTTTGTGCCAAGCTCATGACAGTTTGAGACACTTCATTGGAGAGAAAATATTGGGGTGACAAGATGAGATGACAGATTTGGGGAGCTGTTCCTTGCTGGAGGAGGATAGGCGTCTGATGTCGAGCATTGGCTTTGGCGTTCGGGCTTCGACATGTTTGGGTGATCTTCGTCATAGGTTGCCGACTGTTACGTTTGGAAATTTTAGATCTAGTGGAGCTACTTCAGATTTTATGTTACGTCAGATGTTTGGATACCAAGCACTTGGTCATATCGTGGATGTGAGATTTAATCCGATTGCACATTTGGGATTAGAGGCTCGTTTGGGAGACTCTGATTTTGTTCTGAGCAGGAATAAGGAATGTCACTTTTGACTCTCGACAGGTTGAGAGTGTTGATCACATCATTAGGATATCGCAGTGGGTGGAGAGTGATGCTACTCCATATTGGGTGGAAATTACTTCACATACTCCAGATCATATTACATCGTTTAGGATTCCAGCTGAAGTGACATAGTTAGGGGGATCATGTTGATTTGGATGTAGATGATGAGTTGTTTAATTCGAGTATAGCTGGTAGACGTAGTTTGGATATGGATATTGGTTCATCTCAGGTGGAAGTGTTTGGATCGTTTCAGTTTGGGGCCATTGGAGGAGCTATCAGCCGCAGATTTGGTGATGATGTTGGAGAAGAGTTTCGTACTCTTCTAGTTGATTGAGGGCCTTTGGAGGCTATTTGGGTGAACTACGTGAATGCTTGATTCCTTGGGCAAGAGGATACGTAGACAGTCATTTATGATGTAGCCGATTTGGTGAGTAGATACCGACGTTTGGAGAGTATTCACATTCTCGTTTGGGTCTCGACTTGTTGTGGATGGAGTCCGTTGTCGTAATTTTGTTTTACTTTGTACTGGACGCAACAAGTGGGGCATTTGGTTTGGTTGGTGTCAGTTCAGTTTTGGGAAAACTTCACCGAGGTGGAGATTTGTAGAAGAATTCACCTCCGGTCAACGGCGAACCTTGTCGATGAGACCGCGAAGATGTGGAGAGGCGATCTCGCCTGCAGGCAAAGGCGGAGGCGAGGTGCGGAGCGAAGTTTGGTCGCGGGCTTCGACAGGCGAGGAGAGCTCGCTTGATGGCGAGATATGAGGCGAGAGTCGAGCTCGCCTGACGCAGGTGGATTGTCGCCTGTTCGAGCTCGCTTGTTAGGAGCTTAGGGCTCGCCTGCGAGTGGAGGCGCCCTAGGGCTTCCCTATAAAAGGGAAACCCTCGTTCTCGAGACCGACTGGAGTGGCGGAGCAGAGCGGTAGAGAGAAAACACCCTAAAGCTGGCGGCGGCGATTTGGAGCAGAGAGATCAGAGCGAGTTTGAGTTGGGAGGTGGAGAATTATTTCTCCCTCCGTTTGTTGTGCTTTCGTTCCCTCTGCCATTTGTTGAGCACATTTGTCATGTACTCATTAATTGAGAGGAGGATTTGATGAAGTTTAGGGGCTTTATTTGGAGGGATTAAGAGAGAGTTTGAGCGGTGATTTTAGATTAAAATCACCTGCTATTTGTTGAGAGATCTCAAGTTTGAGATATTCTCTCTTATTTATAATTTCTTGTGATTAATAAGAAACTATTTGTGCCGTTCCCATGGACGTAGGCAAATTTGCCGAACCACGTAAAAATTGGTTGTTTGTGTTTGTGTCATTATTGTGTTTGTATTTGGCCTTCTTTCCAACGACGTTTGTTTGGTTCTCGAGCATTAGATACCAACAAGTGGTATCAGTGCTTAACTAGCTCCAACAGACACTAGTAAAGCACTGTCCTGATATTCTTAGAAATTTCTTTTGTCATTGATGTCATATATAATGTGAGAGAAAATAAGATTCAGTCAGGCGTTTATTACAGTGTCAAGTTTTTAGATACCCGACTCCAAATAGACAAGACTTGTAAGGATTTCCTCATTAGGCAACAGGTTATGAAGATCTAGTTTATATTTACCAAAGGACTAACCTCAAGCAATCTTGCCAAAGGAGCAGAATTTTCTGGATAAGGTTAGAGTTACAAATTCTAGGTAAAAGTAGAACAAAGGAAAATTGAGGGACTCCATATGAAGGGTTAGCGTAGCCTATTCTGGCTTTAGATGTTAAAGAAAATGAACCATCAGATTATAGGACGTATCTTTCTTTTAGAATCTACTATCTAAGTAATCGTTCCTTGATCTTTTTACACTTGGCAACTAGTTTGAAAAATCACAATTTTCGTTGCAAAAGGATGAACTCTAGTAGAACACTTTTGTCTGACAGACAAATGTTAAGCTTTATTGGTTGGAAGACGTGTTTGCTTTTGGTTCGAGTGTTTCTGTTATAACTAGCTGGTTAATGTAGTACGAACACAGGAATCAAATTCTAAATTATGATCAATCCACATATAAGATTAAATTACCAACAATTCTTGTACTTTAACGATAAAAAGATGTTACGACATCAAATATTCTTACATACTACTAAGAAAGAGGATATATATATATATATTTATATCTATATAGCTCAAGACTGCATGTCATCTGTTACTTGCTCACAGCCCAATGCTGACCACCTTTGGTATGTGGACTGGGAAGTCATTTATCTCATCCGCCCAGGGATTATCCTTGGCGCGCTCAACCGTCCTCAGCGCTCGCCACACCGCACTATTACACTTGAATCCTGACCCGAAAGCAATCTGCCACACACGATCACCCTTCTTAATCCTCCCCTTCGCTTCACAATACGCGAGCTCGTACCACAAGGAGCTGCTCGAAGTATTTCCAAACCTGTACAGGGTCATCCTCGAAGGCTCCATGTGCCATTCACTCAGATCGAGGTTCTTCTCAAGTTCATCGAGCACCGCCCTTCCACCTGCATGTATGCAGAAGTGCTCAAATGCTAGCTTGAAGTTTGGGATGTACGGCTTGACCTTCATCTTCATCACCTTCTTCTTGATAACCGCAACTAAGAATAGGAGCTGTTCTGATAACGGAAGGACGAGTGGGCCCAGGGTCGTGATGTTGGCCTTGAGGGTGTCTCCGGCGACGGACATTAGGTCTTTGGAGAGGGCAACTCCGACACGGCCTTCTTCGTCTTCTTCTTGGTTGATGCAGGAGAAACAACGGTCACTGGAGCCGGTGTGGGTCCGGACGGTGTGGACGAGCTGATATTTGGCAGCACCGCCCATCCGGAAGAGACTGTTAGTCACGAGCATTGAGCGATTGTTGCCGAAGTAGGGGTTGAGGGTCGTGTTTTCTGTGCTCACCACGAGGGCATACGTGTTGGGGTGAACCTGCAAGCATCAACTTCAATTAGTCGACACGCACGATCTTAGTAATATATATTACTCGAAAAGAGAAGTGTTGAATATTGAGTCAATCCCGGTAAATTTGGAGATTGTTGTGGGAATTTCTACTGGGCACAACAAAATATATTGAGTAGTTGAGCCATTAATTTCATCATCATCTTTCTTTTTTCCTTCCATCTATTTATTTCTTTACATTGCACATGCCAAAGTTATCATTAGCGTCCTGCTTTATTATACCAGTGCTGGTCAGCTTGGTTCACAAGAGTAACATTGAGGGAGGGAACTTGAATTTTGTTAGAGTAGATCAGTCAAAAATTATTATTCACTAATTTTCTAATGTTTAGATAGATGAGCCATTAATTCTCTCTCTGGTAGGAAATGTATGCATATTTTAACTATCTTAATAAAATAAAATAAAAGTGTCTTACATTGCTTTATCTGAATCATAAGCATCCATTGGACCGAACAATACAATAAATAGATTCTTCGAAAGTAATATAAAATATAAGAAAGCTTAAGATGAAAATTGGTCCTGCGTTATTTACTTCAAGTTTGAACCGTCTTGTCCCTTTTTTTTTCTCTCCCCTTGTAAGTATGAATGCGGTATGTGAAATGTAATAAAAATGTCTCAAGAATCCAAAATATAGGACTAGGGGAGGGGACAAGTGAGGTGTCCCCTCCCTATTGCATAATAAGCTGGCATGCCAGTTCATTATGCAATAGGGAGGGGACACCTCACTTGTCCCCTCCAATGGTCTCATATTTTGGGTCTTTGTAGCAGCGATCAAAAGGTAAACTTTCTTTTGTGTGAGCTTGTGAAGAGGTACGTACTGCTCTGCCTCCTAACTAATGGACAATTAAATTTCAGTGTTTGGGTGCCTAGGCCTAATCGTTTTAGTCAAAATAGGGGGCCTAAGGTTAAGTGATGCATGTGTGTCAGCAGTACATCACTAATGATACTGTATTATACTTGAGAAGCTCATTTGTTTGATAAGGCTAGCGTTTATCCTGATGGTTGCTTGGTCCAATGAGACCGAGTTAAACTGGCATCTTCCACGTGTCAGTCCCCTCCGTTTCTAGGAGTTGGCCTTACGCAGGTATCAACTGTCAAAACATAAAGTTTTGAACCAACAAAGTATAAAGTCACAATCTATTGACCCTTTTTTTCAGGAAAAATAATAATTCTCTGTACGCTTCACACCCCTATTTATTTCACAATCAATGTAAGATATTTCAACAGAAGACGACTATTAATTAATTACTGCAAGTCGATGTCACGAACTGGAGCAAAAATTGATAAACTTCGGCATCTACGGTTGGTCGAAAGTAGTCCTCCGATAAACTCCGCAAACCACGTGATGATGGGAATGAGGGCGTAGTTAACACCTTAACCGCTAACTACTATAGAGTGTTGCTACGGGGACCCAAAATATGTGACCAATGGAGCGGACAGGTGAGGTGTCCCTTTCCTATTGCATAATGAGTTGGTTGTGCTAACTCATTATGCAATAGGGAGGGGACACCTCACCTGTCCCCTTCATTGGTCCCATATTTTGGGTCCTTAAATCATTTTTTTTTTCCTTAAAAGCCAATCCCTTGATAGAAGTCCATCATTCTTAACTCCGTGAGGCTCTGCAGTCCTAAACTTCTCCAAGGTTCCACGTGCCTGAAGCAACTAGGCATAAAGTTATTTCATGGACGATAGTTAGTCAGAGAAATAGGCCTCAAAAGGCAACGCCTAGTTGGTGCGCAGTATTCTCTCATTACTACGCGCCCAGAAAGGATCAACTCCCCTCTGACCCCAAATTAACTCCCGTGTCATTTATTTGTTGAGCAAAATAACTCCAACCCACCCACCTCCATTTATGCCTCTCCTCTCTCCCTTGGGAAGACTACTCATCGCTCGTATGGGATCATTATAATAATTTGAATTGAATGATCATATGAGGGGTTGTACTTGCGGATGTGGGACTCCACTTGTTTTCCCTTCTTAAAGATCATCAACCTTGAATCTACGACCGACTTAAATGACTGTAATTGTCAATCACAGCCAGGGGGGGTATTTTTAGTTTTCGAGTATTTTTTTTTATCCCGCAGGGGGAAACCTCCGTCGGCCCCAACGGGAACAGTCCAATTTCTGAAGAAGACATATGCGTCTCCACAAAATTAAACTGAGCAAACTATTGACATCCTGGCAGACAATTGGGCTACTGTTTACAATTTCTGGACTCGTTGCAGCAGCCAACGCTGCAGCTATAAATATCTAGGCGCGAACCATCTATCTAGAGTGAGTTCTATATAGGAAAGCAGCATGAGATTCGAAAATCTGTACAAATAATCCTCATTGAAAGCTTCGCGCGTGCGTTGAGGTCTTAAAAAAATACTACTCCCACTCTCTCAGTGTGTTAAAAATGTAGTATTTTCCTTGTAACTTTCCTTCGCTGCAGTTTTTCTAAATTAGATATCCTATAACATACGTATGTAATATATACGGCGTACGTGTTTATTCTTGTCCAAACACCAGTTAGGATTTTCGCAGTATTAGTCCCTTGAATCTTTCATATTTTGAAATCAGTCCCTCAATCATATTGAAACAGCTATGAGGTCCCACAATTAATTGTCATAATTTTTTCAAGCTATAATATCCCTCCTCCGATTGCTACTTCAATTGGAGGGACTAATTTAACGCGACTTATGAGAATTGGATGACCTAATACCAATCCCAATGTTTTGGAGGGCTAATTTCGAAAATCTTAAGAATGGGGGGATCCGCTAGCAATTCAACGGCTTGACGGGCCGATTTCAAAAATATTAATATGCGGGGGGCAAGTAGTATATAAGAGGAACAACCACGTACCTTGAGCAGCTGCTTAGCCAGATCTATGGAAATGAGGCCAGCACTGCACCCCATCCCACCGAGACTATAACTCATCACATTCCCCCTCAGCCCGTAGCGGTTCGCTATCATCGCTGACAGCGACGGCGTCGGGCAGAACAAGCTACAGTTCACCACCAGAATCCCAATCTCCTTCGCCCCGACCCCTGTCTTGTCGAGGAGCTCGTCAATTGCCCCATACATAACCATCGTCGCCTCCTCACGCGCCATGACCATCGACTGGTTCAATGGCACGCTGAGTAGGGATTTGGGCAGGTACGAAGCCTGCCCGATCCCTGATCTCTCCAGCATTCGCCGCTGGAACACGATACTGTCGTCTGTAAATGTACCGCTGCTCTGGAACTGCTTCATGAAGGTTTCACGGGTAATTTTGTAGGAGGACGGTGGCTTGAAGCATGATAGGTCGACAAGATAGATTGGTAGGGGACGGCTCTTGAGGTAGAAGGTCGCGATGGTAGCGAGAATGGAGGAGATGATGATGGAGGTTGATAGGTTGAGATGAACGTAGGTGCACGGTGAAGGTAGACTCGTCATGGAGGACAGGACGAGGAAGGCGGGGAGAAGAAGGTAATGTAAGCCGTGAGAGGTGAAGTGGTGGTAGATATTCATGTAGTTTTGGTTTACTTGCTTTAGGATGTTCACGAGCTTGGTGTTGGTAGGAGTTGCTCGTTTTTCCTCCATTGTTGAGGCTTACTACGATGGTGATAGCAATGAGAACTAGTTGAAAGAGGGAAGGGGAAGGGTGAACATATAGAGGGGATTGCATGTTCTTATATAGAGAAATTTAGAGGATCATTGGGAAGCAGGAAAGTAGAAAACAGTGGATGCAGAACGTGGGTAGTATTGAATGCTATAGTTGCAGAACTAGTGTTTTCTTTCGTCATAGAGACACAGAGCTGCTTGGTAACTTGGATCTCTTTTGTGAGGAAACTAGTTTTCGTTGAAGAGGGGCGTTTTCACTACCATAACTTTGAGCCCCACAACTACTGAAGCATCCCATGCTCGACAACAACAGTATTAATGGTAACACATGGACAAACTTAATAGAGAACTCTTAAGAGTATGAAAGGGAAGGAAACACTAACACATGCAGATTATCAGCGTGTATAAAAGGGGTTCACCCATTTTTGTTGCCCATACTTAACAACAAATTTGATCCAAGAATCAAGATCTGTCGTCAATTATCTTAGGAAACCTCTTGTTCACCAAAATGTTGCGAACATTATCACGTGGTTGAAATCCCAGCAAGACATCTAATACTGGTTACAGTATCTTCACTCCTGAGCATAAACCAAAATGTACTCCAATACCAGCAACGCTACAAGAAATTTACATCTTTAAAGAAGGGATCAAAAACTTCTTTAAAGAGCTGAAAACCTTCGTTATTGTATGCCAACAACGGGGAAAAAAAATCCTTTCATCACCCATCGTAGAAACCTCCTTTGCTACAATGTCACAAATGTTATAATGCCCGTCGTTATAAAGTTTACAACGACGGAACATATTACCATCGTTCACATTAGTGATGATAATTAGTACCGTCGTTACCATCAATAACGGGGATTTTTCCCATTGTCACTGTAATATGATGGTTTTTCGTTCTGGTTGTTGTTGTGTAATGATGATGTTTTTTTACTTCCAATGTTATTGTGTAACAACGGGTGACAACACCACCGTTGAAGACCAATTAATGACGGTTGGACACCATCATAAAAGTCCTCATTGTTGGTAATTAGTAACCCATCAACGATGGTGCTTTTCCTTCGTTGATGTACTAAATACGGCTAACAAAACCGTCATTGTAGTCTACAAATTACTAATGTACATTAATGATAATTTTTTCATTCATAGGTAACTATCATAGAAATTCATCATATTATTATCAATCTGGCAATAAGATTCACAACAAAAATATATTAAAAATATCCAATAATAAAATAAAAGGCAAAATAAAAAATCCATTCATTAATAACATCAATAAATAAAATTTCACCATCCTCAAATATTTAATACTAACAACAAGAGTTAATATCCAATTATTCCAAAGAAAAATATGTGAAACTATCTAAAGCAAAATAAAATAAAAGTCTGAGAAAGACACATCCTTTCTCTAATCAATGTTAAAAAGAAGACTCGAGCTACGCCTCTCCTAATCTTCAATAGCTTGAAAATTAAAAAAATATCACATAATTAAGAAATATCAATTAAGAAAATATTATCTTATTAAGTAAAAATCGTATTTTCTCCGGTACAAGTAGTCAATCATAAAAGCACATAAGTGATTTTATAAAAATAACTACCTAGTCTTGCACATGTTCTCGAATTTGAGGAGTCGATGAAGTATTAGATTGTTGCCTAAAAAAAGTTCATGCATAGTTTTCACTTATGACTCTAAGTCAAACACCATTTGTTGTTGTTGATGTTGTTGTTCTTCCTGGTTATCTAAGTGTTGCTAAAGTAACTGGTTCTTTCTCTTTTCTTCTATAACCCGTGTTTGTAAATTAGATCGACTAGAGCGGTCCTCTCAAATCCTTCAATGTAGTCCCACCATCAAATATAGTGATGTGACCATGAGATTGTTTCTCCAAAAAATTTTAATTACCTCAATGTATGAAAGTGAAGTGTTTGCTTGCTTGAATTGAATGGGTTTATCCTATAAAAATTAAATATATATGTCAGTACTATATAATGCATTATTATTAAACTTAAATATATGTTCTACTTTCATATTTATCTTGATCTCCAATATATATTGTTTCATTAGATTTCTTTCGGATTTCATGGAATATTTTTGTCACATTGGATGGATTTTCTGACTTGCCACCCTTATTCAAATATTAAATAAAAATGAGTACAACATCAAGTGTTAAATAAATAGGAAATTAGTTTTGAATGTGTGCCAGTTCCCATGCAATTTGTCTAAAAGGTTTACTGCCCATGTGGTGGAACATATTTCTTTTACCTTTGTTAAGTGTATTTATTGCCTTGCTTTCTATACATCAAGATTAAAAGAGAATTTCAAAAGCATCAGTTTCACCTATTGCCTGGAAAATAAATAAAATTAGAAGTTGTTATGCATAGATCAAAAGCATCAGTTTCACCTATTGCCTGGAAAATTTATATACAGATCGTGGTGGCATCCTCAAGGCTACGTAGCTATTGGTCTTAGGCATGCTTGGTATAATGCATTGGTATACATAATTCTATACTTGGTACCGGTTCTTAAAATTTTCGTTTGACAGTCTAAAAGCATTGTGAAAATGTCATAGTAAGCCATCTTTAGACAAATCATTGTTCGTTAATAGACTAGTTTAGATGAACAAGATGAATGGTCAAATTGTTCATGATAGTATTGTTAGAATTGTGTATTTGATTCTTTGTATTACTTCATGAAAATTAGATAGGGGTAGAAATCTATCATAATTAGGAGACTGGGTTTCATTATGATTAGGAGTTTAAATCCTATTCTAATTAGGAAGTTAGGCTAGAGATAGGGTTTTGATTTCCCTAAATATATTCTTCTATTGTTAGAGGAAAAACCAAGAAGAGTAGAGAGAAGGAGAGAGAGAGAGAGAGAGAGAGAGAGAGAGAGAGAGAGGTTTGACAGTCTTTGTCCGTAAAAAAGATTATAATTTTGAGGTGGTAGTGCATTGATTTTAATCTCGTGGTTTTTTTCTGTTGAGGATTTTCCACGTTAAATCTTATGTGATTTTATTTGCTACGTTTGGTGGTTTTTTTGTGTTTTTACTAGATCTAAAAATCCTAACAAGTGGTATTAGAGTGGGGTTTGATGGTTCATGGAGGTTTGACCGGTGCGCAATTGGTGAAGGTGTCAGCGATCGAAGCGCGGTGATCAACATCGGGGTAAACAAAAAAAAGGAAGGGTACTATAGCGTAATACTATAGCAGAATACTATAGCGGCACGGGAGACCTATTCACGTGGAGTTAATCATGTGGTATAGAGTTAACAGTGAAGATTGGTTTGTTTTTTGATCGAGGATTTGGAGGTGGATTTTGGTGATCTAGGAGTCATTCCTAGGTTTTTTTTTCGACATGCTGAGTTCGTTTTTACGTCAGTTTTATTAAATTCAATCTTTATAGTGATTAATTTAAATTTTGATTATGGTTAGAGGATGATGACTTCTTTCGGTCCGAAGTTTGATATTTCGCTATTCAACGACAATACAAAATTTACAGTATGGTAGTGCGCGATTCAAGATATTCTTATGCAGGAGGGTGTTGATCAAGCTTTGGAGAAGAAGAAACCTAAAGGATTGAAGGATGCTGAATAGAGTTCTATGCAAAAGAGGGTGTAGGCATCGAAAATTGCCTATAGGTCTCCACGAACAGCTCAAAGCTAAGAGAAGACGATGAACGTCACCATCTGGTTCACAGAAGCTTGATTGACGTCGACGAACGCTTGAAGTGAATCGGCAAACTATGTGAAGCAACGGAGTTTCAGAATAATAAAGATACGAACTGATCGGGAGCCCCGTGTCACTTACAAAAGACGAAATGTCCTTCGTGTCTCATTTATTCCACAAATGATCTAATCATTGGAGCTTATAGAACTCCTCTCCGGCTTTCCAATGCACTTTGAATCGTTCAAATCCGAGTTCGGATGAAGAAGTTACGGCGAAAACGAACAAACAGGCATAACGGAACGTCTCAGGCTGAACTGGGACACCCGAGGTGTCTCGGTACGTGTGGAGCTGTTTTGACGATAATTCGTTTTGAATCTGAAGAAAATAAAAACAGGAAAGTTGTAGATATTTTTGTCAGCTTTCCAACTCATCTGTAATCAGGTCATTTTGAGGTCATATGAGAAAGCTATGACTAAAATAGCGCCGAGACACCCAAAGGTGTCTCGGAACTGGCCGAGACACCCAAAGGTGTCTCGGCACTTGTGGAGCTGTTTTGACCATGATTCGTTTTGAATCTGAAGAAACTCAAAACATGAAAGTTGTAGATCTCTTTTTCAGCTTTCCAACACATCTTGAATCACTCAAATCCGAGTTCATATGAAAGAATTAGAGCCAAAATACTAAATAGGGTACAGACTGTCTCGCATAGGTGCGAGACACCCCGAGCTGTCTCGCACTTGGGACGTGTTTTTGACGGTTTTCGATCAGTTTTAACCGCTCCGTTATCTTCTCAAGCCTATAAATACAAGCCTTAGGCCTTATTTTTTGAAGATCTGGAATTTTGGAGAAGAGGCGAAGCCCTGCCGGAGTGAAGAGTGATCGAGCACTTCAACGCAAGAGAGTTCTTCGTCAGATCTACATCACCCGTACCCGATCGTTTGAATTCATTTGTAACGTTTGAAGTTTTAATGAAATCAATGATGAAGGCAACTTTTGACGAAAACAAACTGGCGACCACAGTGGGAGCCAACGGCCTCGCTGCCGAGGCCGTCGTGACGCAACCGACTTTCAAGATCCGGGTGAACGAAAAGATCGAATACGAGTTCGATCAACAAAAGTTTGAAGAGTACCTCTCTTCCTCCTCCTCCAGATCCGCCTCTCTAAACAGGCGCAGGAAGACTTCATCTTCCAGAAATGCTCGCGGGACCTCCGACTCGAAGATCCGAGATCCCCTCGCTGTTGCATCTACTCCCCGCGACGTTCCTATGACGTCCAACGCGGTTGAAGCTGCAGATCCAAATCTGCCCTCCGCCGTAAAGACAAGTGTCGAAGGTGCTCCGACTTTGGCGAAAAGGGCACGCCAAAGACGGCGTCAACGCCTCGCCCGACAACTGGCCAAGGCCGCAGAATCGATGGACAGCGCCAGGTGCAACAACGGTGAACAACCAACTCCTCCTCTAAAGTGGAGACAAATGAATGGGTCCGCGTCAAGAGGACTCGCTCAACCCTCGAAGAGCGAATCAAGAAACGCCGTGCATTGCTTGCGCATGCCCGAGTCCTTCTGCAG